GGAAAAGGGGAGATCTCCCGCCGGGCAAAGTGTTCTGCCCGGGGAGCGGCCAACACTCCGAGTGATAGTTCTAAGTAGGTAAATTTATATTTATTCAATGTGTAGTGTTCGCGTAAATTTAAGAAATCATTATGATTCTTAATTGCTTTAAAAATCCGGTTTCATAAAAGAAGATCATGAAAATCTTCAAATAATTACGAATGATGAAGAACCTGCAATAGAACCACTGGTTGACATAAGCGGTGTGAGTTTTTTTGACTTTGTTCAAGTGGATGAAGATGTTGCTGTCTCAGGTTCACTAACCGATGGAGAAATTTTATCTGCGACAGATACGAGTGAAAAAAACAACGATGAAGATGAAGACATCAGAACCTTTGGCAGAGGCGTCAGTCAAGGAAGCAAGAGCCTCATTCTATACCTAACAAAGCTTCTCTCTACAAAACGAAAGTGGTGAAAAAGAATTTTAACCACAATTTTCTCTTAAAAAAGTTATTGAGCAGTCTGGAGTAGCAGCAATATGCTTTGAAGCGAAACAAATAACAAAGTTCTTTCGAAAGATTTAATTCACATTATAACTATGTACACGTATGTACCTCTAAACTTTTGTCATTGTTAAAGAATAGCAGTTAATAAATAATAATTGATCAACACTTAACAATTCGATGTTTTATTTATTTTCTTTCAAAAATGTCGAACCATTTGATATTTCACACTCGATAATTCGTAATATTTTAAAAGTCCCTCGAGTTTCGAATTAACGAGAGTCGGCTGTATTTAAAAGTTTGCTGTCTGGGTATTGGAGAATTAAATCCTAGTACAGAACTCAGTGCAGAAACCACTGTATCCTATACTATTAAACGAGCAATTCTTGTATATATATATATAATCGGGATCTCGGAAACGGCTCCAACGATTTTCATAAAATTTAGTGTCCAGGGAGTTTCGGGGATAATAAATCGATCTAGCTAGGATTTATTTTTAGGAAATGAAAAACTGCTACAATATCGTTAGATTAAAAAGGTAAATTTTGACAGATTGTTAATGATTATAAATAGCTTAATTGGTATAATGGGCGGTCACAGAATCCTAAACCCCGGTTCGAGTCCAGACCGACCGACCGACTTTTTTTAATTTTTTTTTTTCAAGTTCCTTTCTTTTTTTGAGAAAATTTATTTTTTCGAGCCCTTTTATTTTTAAAAACATAAAAATTTAAATTAAAATAATTGCACTCATGATTTTTTATTCTAATAACCAGTTCCGTTTTTTCTGTTATGTCGCTAAGATCAAAAAATATTATTTATATTTTATCAGTATGTAATTTGTATCTAAATATAATTTTCAAAACACACGAATTAAAAAAAATCAAACGATAAATACCGAGCAAAGCTCGGTCAACCGGGTACTTATATAATTATGTAATGACTATTTGATTAAACAAATACATATATTTCTATTTCTATTATTACCGCTGATGATTGCCTCATTAGTGTAGTGATCGTAAGCGCACCGTTGCTCATGACATCCCGGGTTCTAAGCCCGGGTCGGCTCAAAATCAGTTATTGATTCTTTCTGTCAATAAATTATCAGTAACAGCTCGGAGTCGGCAAGCTACTTGTGTTTCACCCTGACTCCTGCGCCTGTTGTGTTTCCACTCGTGTCGGATTGTAGTCCAATCGGGCTATTAAAGTAATGGTATTATGTAAGTGGTATTATGGAATTTAATACGTGGTAGAGCCAGGCTGCAGTTATATTACTAGTATAATTGTAGCACGAATGGGTCGGCTCGACCGGGGAGGGACCACGCTCTCACAGTATATCAGCGTAAAATACTTACTTACTTACTTACTTATCTTCACGCACAATCCCTAACGGGGTAGCCAGAGAGAACAGATCGCCAAGTGCCACGATCCTTACATACCTCTTTCGCTTCTTTCAGGTTCATTAACTTCTTCATACATGCGCGTCTAGGTATCCGAGTACTCTTGATCCTCCCCTCTTCGAGCAATTTGCTCACATGGTCTTCGAAATTTAGTTTTGGTCTACCTCGACACCTTTTAATATTTACTTTCGCTCTATATATTTTCTTCACCATTCGGTCTTCACTCATTCGTTCAACGTGCCCAAACCATTGGAGTACGCCCCTATCAATTTTTGTAAAATAGCAGCGTAATACTGCTGTGTTTCGTATGGTGAGTGTAGAAAACCGAAGACTCTTTTTACTGGAAACAAGACATTCCATCTTAGTCCTTACGGGTGACAACGCACCTACATTTTGATTCGTAATCGATGGTAGTAGTAGCTTACCATCAGGTGACCTGTGCCTGTGTGCTCTTTTGTCCTCCCTTATCCTGTAAAAAAGGAAAAAAAAAACACTAATTCAAGCGGGCATCTAAATAAGTTTCTATTTAAATGTACTTACTGTCGATAATATCGCCTATAAATCATAAATCTATAATAGCGACTTCAGAATTTCAAATGAACCAAATGATAATGATGACGATGATATAGACCGTATTCCAAACCATTTAGTGTTAAAATGCAATGTGTCGAAAATAGCACTGTCTACCGTCCTCCTTTTAACAAGATCGACGTTACGATCCAGACGCGATTCAACCTTGAGACTAGGGTTGCCAAATTTAGTTTTTTTTATTTATAACTAGCAATCCGACCCGGCTTCGCACGTGCGTTTCTGAATCTCGACAACAGCGCTATGATCCGGGTCCAATTCTGAATCTAAATCCTCCAGGGTCCAATTCTAATACGTACAAAAAAATTCATAAAAATCGGTCGAACCCAGCAATGGGGCGTATAATTTTTTTTTCTAAACTTTAGTGTTTACCGCCATCTATGACCGTGAGGTCTTTGTGATTATTCCTATTTAAAACGTTTTCAAAGTTTTCTACTCTTGTCTACTAAGATATCTATAGCCAATTTTAGATTACGCTGATATCTGTTATTACTACCGAAGAGCAAATTAATAAACTAGAACGCTTGCAAAATTTATGTATTCGATAATTTTTTTTTGGATTTTGGGCAGATCCGATCCGAGATCCCATGGTTAGCTGTCGCGCTTATTTAACCAACAAAGCAATCGTTCTATGTAATTTAGATATATTATGGTTGGCAACCCTAAGCCAGACGTATAAATAACACTGGAATAACACTTGGCGTCTGTCCAGTTTGCTCTGCTGGAAAGCATCGCTTTGTAATGTGGCGCCATTTGTTTTTTTTTAAATTCACGTGGCTATGGAATCTAGATGATGCAACCTCTGTAAAGTTTTGGCCGAGTCATTGGCTGCAGGTGGTGCATAAGGATGCTATCGAATGCTGTTACGTGGGAGATATTTTAGTGTCTTCCAAACACGAGCCACGTTCTCTTCCATATCTTAAGTCGGAAACCAATACTAGGATAGTAGATAGTAGTGTTGCAGGTCGAACCATTAGATTCAAACATATAATACTAAAATACATACATAATAGAGCGGGGGAGTGGGCGGAGCCCGTGTAGCCACTAAAATGCCACTAACACGTCAATTCACACGTATAAATGTCAACACGAGATGTGTTTTGACGTTACAATTGTTTCCAAATTTCGCATGCAAATTATTTAGAAAATACCAAATTGCACCCTATTTACAAATAAATATGTATTAAAATTTAAACGATTTTTTTAATGATGATCTTGAACATTAATTAAAAGTCTAAAATGTGTAAATTTATTCAGTCTGTCAACATAGCGAATCGGGTTTGGCGACGCCAAACCTCGTACAAATTAAAGTTGACAGCCATTCTATTGTGTACTATAGTGTTCTATGGATTCAAAGCATCAAAGTGATTCAAGCTCAAAGCGTATAGTAATTTAATATATTGATTAAAACTATTTTTACGGATTTTATCGCATTTATTTTACTATTATTTTTAATTCCCGACGTTTCGGGCGCTTTCCAGCACCCATGGTCATGGGGGACTGAGATGACTGACTAGGATATGATATGATGACCGTCTAGACGGCCTCAACCATTACATCAGATTTGATAGACCACAAATCCTCGCGAAAGAACACCGATTCCTACCAAGGATGATACGTGAGGCTATTGAAATTAAAAAACATCCTAATTTCAATAGAGAAGGAGGCTGGGTACTACCACCTGCTTGGGATCCTATAATCAATAAAATTAAAACTAAACCCAAGCATACCACTGCAAAACCTCAGGACATAGTTCATTTTGCATAGATCGGACCATAAACAATAATTAAAAAAGCTGAAGGTACTCCGGGTTTAACAATGACATCGGGACGTCAGTCATCTCGGTCCCCCGTGACCATAGGTGTTGGAAAGCGCCCGAAATGTCGGGAATTAAAAATGATAGTAAAATAAACGCGATAAAATCGTAAAAGTAGTTTTAATCAATGTGTAGTGTTCGAGTAAATATAAGAAATCATTATGTAATTTAATATAAGTAATTACAGCATCTGTTTTTCTATCCAATTACAATGTCTTCAAGAGTGAATATGCTTTATTTTCAATAAGATAAGGGTGACAAACGAGCACACAGTCCACCTGATGGTAAGTGGTTATTGTGGCCCATAGACATCTATCCTCGATTACAAATCAAAATGCAGATGCGTTGTCACCCGTGGGGACTAACATGGAATGCCTCGTTTCGGGTCTCCGGTTCTCTACACTTACCGCTACGCTTGTATTCTGTGAGAGCGTGGTCCTTCCCCGGTTGAGCTGACCAATTTGTACTACAACTACACTATTAATTTAGCTGCAGCAGGACTCTACTACATCATGTTACTTATTATTGATCGGTGATAGATGAAAAATTAACATGTATACATAACTATACCATACTACGCGAAGATATAAATCATATATGATAATTTCTAGTAGCATTATTCGGACATTGTTAACGTAATCAAATCGTCAAAATAAACATCTTTTCCAACGCGTTTGCATAAAGTCTTTATTTTAATTTTAGTATTTTTCTTTGCAGTTAAACTACCGGAAGATGAGAGCCCAGCGGTGGGAGCGGGCCGGTTCACCATCGGGCCGGCGCCGGAGCGCGACTGGGAGATGGTGCCGCCCGACGGCAAGTGGGGCTGGTTCGTACTCGTAGGTAAACTGCACCATTTTGTTTGTTTGTTCGTCACCACCGACGGGAATCAACTTGTGAACGAATCTGGGGGCACGGCAGTGCCCCCGCCAAGTCGAGCAAAGAAGCGGCACGGCCGTACCTTACTTTCTCTAAGCAGTTCAGGTCATTTTCACTAAACAATCTAATTACTTGTGAGATACATTGTGTTTTCATGCGATAGCCAATTCAATCAATTTATTTAAACATTAAAGATTTTTAATATTGATATGGTCACTATAAAATGTTTTTAGGTTAGTTAATTACGTAATAACTTAAAACAGAGGGACCTTTGAATAAATTAACCGACTTGGTATTACATGGATCTCACAACTTTTTACGGTAGAAGAAATGAGTTGCGAGACTTGTTTTTTTACAAGTTATGTTTTTGATGGCGTAATATATACTTCCCAGAGTATTTTTTATCTATTTATTACATAAAAGTACACTCGGTTGTATCTTAATTCGTTACACTATACTATTATTTAACTAATGTGTCTTTTTCGCGGAAATTGTTAAACTACCTTTGAGAAACTACAGCTTAGTTTGGGGTAATATTAATATTCTAATCTTAAATTTAAATAGGCGACAGTAGCCTAATGGCGCGGATCGCGAACTCAAAAGGTCGTGGGTTCGAATCCACCATTTGACTACTGTCGTGAACCACTCCTAACACAAGCGTTTCAAGCTTACCAGGAGAGATCAAAAGAAATATTAGTAATGTTAATTAATAAGATTACTAATATTTAAAAAAAAAAAAAACTAAAAATCAAATAGTTCGGATGGTTAGCGCTCGCTGTAAAATTCACAGTACGCGAGGAACCCGGGTTCGTTCTCCGCCGGCAGCACTGATTTACTACGAGCTCGGCGGTGAAGGAGAACATCGTGAGGAAACGGGTATGTCTAAGAAATAAGAAAAAAGAATATATTTCGAAGACATTGTGAAGTTCGCCAACACGCATTGGGGCAGCGCTGCAGACGTTTCCTTGCCCTAAAATCCTTTCAGAAATGAAAGGAGGCCTGTGTCCAGCAGTGGGACGTATATAGACTGTAACGTTAACTTTAACTATGGCTCTACCACGTATAAAATTTTGCGTAATATTTATTTGCTAGGTACGTTTTAGGAAAGTTTATCGACCAAATTGGTGATATATATTGAAAACAGGCCAGATTAAGAGGCTAAGTTAACCGACGAGCATGTATATGTATTCGTGGGTACATAGATGTAGAGAAAGCGAGAGAGGTGTGTCAGGATCGTGCCAAATGGAAGTCCGTAGTATGTGCATACCCCTCTCGGTAATAGGCGTTAGTGTTGTACTACATAATACTACAAATAAAGTGAACTTATTTTTTATCTTTATTAGGATTACCAACGATTAATACATTATTACATCTTAAATTAAAATTTACGGTTGTGTTATTTCTAAATATCACCATAGAATACTAAACCGCTCGATCCAGTCGACTAACCGCTCGATCCAGTCGACAAACCGCTCGATCCAGTCGACTAACCGCTCGATCCAGTCGACTAACCGCTCGATCCAGTCGACTAACCGCTCGATCCAGTCGAGTAACCGCTCGATCCAGTCGACTAACCGCTCGATCCAGTCGACTAACCGCTCGATCCAGTCGACTAACCGCTCGATCCAGTCGACTAACCGCTCGATCCCGTCGACTAACCGCTAGATCCAGTCGACTAACCGCTCGATCCAGTCGACAGTCGGGATCAAGAGGTAATAGGACAACGATGGGGGTTCCAGCTCACATCGCGTACACACCGTACACCCGCGTTCCTGGACGGTTCTCACCGCCCAGACCATCGACCGACACGAGCTGAGCAGTCAGAGACGGGGGTCCGCACTCCCCCTCTCGGACTGCGGTTAGATAGCTCAAAGAAAAACGCCTAAAAAGGCGACATGATGATTGGTAACAATATCAAATCATAAACCATTTCATCATCATCCTCACCTCATTGCCTTTCACTTCTTTAATTAGCTCGCGGCCTGTAAGGCCCTGAGACAGATGAAGCTGTAAGAGTCGCATAGACTAACAGCACTAACATCTAGATAATAGCATAGAATACTATAATACATACATAATAGAACGGTGGAGTGGGCGGAGCCCGTGTAGCCACTAAAATGCCGCTAACACGTCAATTCACACGTATAAATGTCAACTCGAGATGTTTTTTGACGTTACAATCGTTTCCAAATTTCGCATGCAAATTATTTAGAAAATGCCAAATTGCAAGCTATTTACAAATAAATATTTATATTAAAATCCGTCTGTCGACACACACACTTTTCTGGAACTTCGTGGAACAAGGTATACGAGACGACCCAAAGTGGTCTTTGTAAAATTTCTGACTGGCTAAAAATGAACCTTCTAACTTTGAATATTAATAAAACAAATTATATGTGCTTCTCAATAAACAAAAGAACTCAACCAAAAAACGATTTTACATTAAAACTACATGAATGCGATAAACTAGATTACTCAAATTGCAATTGCAAAACGCTACAGAAGGTTACATCAACTAAATACTTAGGATTAATATTGGATCATCGACTATCCTGGCATCCACATATTGAATATATGACCGAAAGAGTGCGTAAACTTATTTGGATTTTCAAAACCCTGAGACATATTACATCACACAAATTAATAAAACAGATATACATTACTTTGGTACAATCTGTCTTAGGATATTGCATTTCTGTATGGGGTGGGGCTACTAAAAGCAAATTCTTGGAGGTTGAACGTGGTCAACGCTGCCTTCTTAAAGCCATGTATTTCAAACCACGCTGGTACCCCACTACAGCATTATATAAATTTTGCGACGTGCTAACCGTGAGACAGTTATACATTTTAGTGACTGTTCTAAAAATTCGTAAAACTATACAGTTTGACTCCATTGTAGATAATAGAAGAAGAAAAAAATATGTAACCAAACCTATTCGCACGAAAACAGTGTTTGCCAAACGCCAATATACTGCAAATTCTGTGTACCTTTACAACAGCATTAACGGTTTGTTGGACATTCATGCAACAACTCACCATGATTTCAAAAAAATCTGTAACTACTTGGTTAAAAACACAAAATTACGAAGACCTTGAGGCACTTTTACACCATACCTCGTAAAATGTAAATGTAAATCAACACACACACACACACACACACACACACACGCACGCACGCACGCACGCACGCACGCACGCACGCACGCACGCACGCGCACGCACGCACGCACGCACGCACGCACGCACGCACGCACGCACGCACGCACGCACGCGCACGCACGCACGCACGCACGCACGCACGCACGCGCACGCACGCAGCACGCAGCCCACGCCTTGCCTTGCCACACGCACGCACGCACGCACGCACGCACGCACGCAGCGCACGCACGCACGCACGCACGCACCACGCACGCACGCACGCGCACGCACGCACGCACGCACGCACGCACGCACGCGCATACGCACGCACGCACGCACGCACGCACGCACGCACGCACGCACGCACGCACGCACGCACGCACGCACGCACGCACGCACGCACGCACGCACGCACGCACGCACGCACGCACGCACGCACGCACGCACGCACGCACGCACGCCGCACGCACGCACGCACGCACGCACGCACGCACGCACGCACGCACGCACGCACGCACGCACGCACGCACGCACGCACGCACGCACGCACGCACGCACACGCACACGCACGCACGCACGCACGCACGCACGCACGCGCACGCACGCACGCACGCACGCACGCACGCACGCACGCACGCACGCACGCACGCACGCACGCACGCACGCACGCACGCACGCACGCACGCAACACACACACACACACACACACACACACACACACACACACACACACACACACACACACACACACACACACACACACACACACACACACACACACACACACACACACACACACACACACACACACACACACACACACACACACACACACACACACACACACACACACACACACACACACACACACACACACACACACACACACACACACACACACACACACACACACACACACACACACACACACACACACACACACACACACACACACACACACACACACACACACACACACACACACACACACACACACACACACACACACACACACACACACACACACACACACACACACACACACACACACACACACACACACACACACACACACACACACACACACACACACACACACACACACACACACACACACACACACACACACACACACACACACACACACACACACACACACACACACACACACACACACACACACACACACACACACACACACACACACACACACACACACACACACACACACACACACACACACACACACACACACACACACACACACACACACACACACACACACACACACACACACACACACACACACACACACACACACACACACACACACACACACACACACACACACACACACACACACACACACACACACACACACACACACACACACACACACACACACACACACACACACACACACACACACACACACACACACACACACACACACACACACACACACACACACACACACACACACACACACACACACACACACACACACACACACACACACACACACACACACACACACACACACACACACACACACACACACACACACACACACACACACACACACACACACACACACACACACACACACACACACACACACACACACACACACACACACACACACACACACACACACACACACACACACACACACACACACACACACACACACACACACACACACACACACACACACACACACACACACACACACACACACACACACACACACACACACACACACACACACACACACACACACACACACACACACACACACACACACACACACACACACACACACA